ATATATGTGTGTATGTATGGTTTTAAATATCATTCTGTCTGAGGATGACTTTGAAATAAAGTCGAAAATTTACATTTCACTTCTCGTCTTGTTTTAATGCATATTTTGCAATCTCAAGATATCTTGCTTTTTCGGAATTTGTTTTATACTATATTTCTTTAAATTATCGGCTGGTCATGGTTTTTATAAATCTATGTGGCCAGTATTGTGTATGGAGAAAACCATGCATTACGAAACTTTCCAACGAGTTAAAAACTTTTTAGCAATCACAAGAAACGTCGATAGTTGCTTCGTTTGAGTAAGCTTGCACCATATACGAATTTGGATGTTGGCCATCTCAGCCGATTAAAATTTTTACTTTCAGTCATTCCCAACAAATGGTCTGTGTTTGGTAATAGAAAGCATTTTTGTCAGTCCTAACACTGTACACGTTGAACTTCCGGATCTGCTAGTCTTCACGTCTGTGAATTAAATTAGGCAAAAAGTAAATGGGCAAATTTTCTCATTGATTGAACTGCTGTAAATAAAATCAAAAGTTTTAATAGTTACTTCGTAGTTATCTCATGAAATACAAAGTTTATTACAGAGACAACTGACGCATAAAAAATGTGCATCAAATCCACTTGACAGCTTAACAAATGCCAGAGATAATTTGGAATCATTTTCCTGTGCATTCTCGCTCGTTGTAGTTTACTTCTGAGGATACACTTAACGACCACAAAAGAACACTTTATTTCCATAACTCTGTATTCTTTCATGCATATAAAGTAGGCGAAAGGCTTTTTCATTGGATTACAAACACTAAAAGTTTACATATTCTCCATTGTCATGTCTGTTTTTGAATTTTCACTTCAATCAGCGTGCTAAAGGAAGATGATTAAGATGACAAAACAAAGGAAGAGAACAGATAAAGCTTAGCGACTCAGTAACATTATTCACAACTCAACATCGCCACATCAAGAACGGTCGGTTAAAAGAAACTACTTTCCAATCAAGAAAAAGTCATTAAGATGTTCTTCAAAACTCTCTTTTTCATTGGTTATCTTTTGGCCACGGTCAATGCAGGTAGGGTTTTTCGACTTTAGAAATTTTAGAATTTGTAGCTTGTATTGAGATTTTGAGCACTGTGTAGTGTAGAAGATGGCGTAAACTGAGGTGTAGAAAAAGCAGTGCTGACTGTTTTGTCAGTCTTCATTTTTGATTTATCACTGGTTTATAAGACAGATTTTACTGTGAAATTTAAATTTGGCATCTTATTTTGAGAAAAATGCTTACTGGTTTTGTTTCAAGTTATTTCTATACATTTTTTTCTTGCTACAAAATCTTTAAAACTTGGTTGTGCTGAAATACAAATCATCACATTAATCGAGCTGATGACTGTTTCTCAATTCACATCGTTTTAATCGTCCTAATCAGGTAATAGAAGAAAAATCATCGAGGTACAAATGCATACCTTCAGGTGAAGATGAACTTATGACAACCTATTTTACACAAATAAGTTTTTGACCTACATCAGCCTGAAGTTGTAAGTGTTAGTGTTCCATGCAACGTAGAGAACCGCGTAGAGTGCGTAATTTGCATAGTTTTACAAATATGTTTACATTACCTTTTAAAGGAAAATGGAGAACAATTGCGTTGAACAAGTGCATTGGGGCCAAAAACAATCAATATGCTGAATTTTCATACCCAGGCCCTTCGCGGTTTATCATTGCTCTAAAGTTACAACATACCACTGGAAAGATTGGATGTTCTCCTGCACATAAAAGCAACTGGGGCTGCTCGCCATCATCCGCAATGAACATTATCATTACAGGTAAATTAATAAAAAATGATCAGCTGGAACATTTTCAAGGATAGTTTTGTTGCAAAACAACATAAAAAATCTTAATCTGTCGAAGAATCATTCAAATAGCTTTTGGGTAATTCAGACTTAAAACAAATGGAAGTCGATGTTCTAATACTTATTAATGACAGTATTTCTGCATATATTGAACAATTTAATACAAACAGACGATTAAACCTTTATAAGGCTGAGTAGTTCATATTTTGGGTAGCTAGTTGACTGAGTTTTATTGTTGACGCTCTCGCCCAGCATTTCAAGTCATATTAAGTGAGAAAAACTGGGTAAGAATCATTAAAAGTCATACGAGGTAGAACAAGAATTACGTTTGTAATGACTTTTAAACTATCCGCGATCGCAATGTTAAAAGTCTGAATGTAGGGTAATAGTAATTGGCCAAACATTACACAAAAAGCATTTAATTTATGCGATCAATGTTTCTGTTATTGAATTTCAGACACAAGAAATAAACGTATATTTCCTGCACCGTCTTTGATTACACCCGGCACTAATGGCAACTGGTATATTTCGCCGGGATACAATTCTAACTCGCCGAGTATCACCTTTGCTGTACCAGGTTTCCGATGGTTGTATCATGGTCAAACATTCAGAATCTGGTACGGAGAAGATCTGCTAGGATATACAGAAAGTGACAATCATGGAAAAACTTGTATGAATGTACTCGTTTACACTACACTTGTATGAATGTACATTTACTCATTTTAAAATTTTGTTGTTGTAATCCCAATAAAAAAGTATGTTAGTCTGTTTAGTTTACTATGGCAGTATGGCTATATGATAGATGACAGGTTTCCAATAAGAAATATGCATAAACGAGAAAATGAAATATTATATCGATTCTTCTGAGCTGTAATCTACATCTGCCATTCATTAGTTGGTGTATGTGTTACAAGAAAAATTTAACGCTCAATTCGCAATTCCAACAAATACGCGAATAAATAGCACGCAAACATTATCCTAAAAAGAAACACGATGCATTCCTCTTTTACGAAACTTTTTACTCAAGACGAAATAAAATTTTGCCATTTACAGTTTAACTTTGTCATCTTTTATTTTATAATAAATTTAGGTCAACTAAATTATTTTAAATGAAGATATGAATGCTGGACAATTTAAGCAATTGTTTCATGAACCTGAATTCAGGTGACTCATGGGTTCGAATCCCGTTGAATTTCAAACGCCGCACTGCATAAAACATTCTTTCATGGGTTCGAATCCCGTTGAGTCACCTGAATTTTTCAGGTTCATGAGACAATTGCTTAAATTGTCCAGCAAAGTCAAAATCATATCTTCATTAATCAAACACCACTGCATAAAACATTCTTTCATAGAATTACTTTTGATAAGGAAGTTTTGAATGTATACCTATATATCATGAATATTACTATATACTAGAAAAAATTTTCAAATGTTTATAGCCATTCGTGAATCCTGTGAAAAATGTATAAGATATTTTTATATCACGTTATGACCGACTGTAAACTGACGAGTTCATCAATATATTTCTGAGCTGACAAAATCTTTGTCAATGTTTTATATACGTTATACATTTAGATGTATGCAAACTGTATTAGAATTTCACTTGCATCACATATTTTTCGAAAAGAAATGGTCAGTACTACGTCTGTATACAATATAAACTGGCAGTACTACGTCTGTATACCAAATATAAACTGGCAGTACTACGTCTGTATTCAATATAAACTGGCAGTACTACGTCTGTATACCATATAAACTGGCAGCACTACGTCTGTATACAATATAAACTGGCAGTACTACGTCTGTATACCAAATATATACATATATGGAGCTTCATAACACTGTATATGGACTAGAATATTTCGAAAATTTAGTGTAAGCCTGTAACATATTTGAATTTGATTTTGGTCTTTTCGTTTCAAACTTCTACCTTGACAAAGCATGGCAGTAATTGGTACGAACCATTTTTTAAAACAAAGAACAAACATGAAATTTGATACAGAAACAATGCTTCATTGTTCCCAAATTAACCTATATAAACGCCAAGCACATTCAATAATCGTCAGTTTAGAAAAAATTATAGAAAAACCATGAAGATGTTCTATAAGATACTGCTTTGCATCAGTTTTCTATTGGCCACAGCTCATGCAGGTATCGTAAAGACTTTTCACGAAAATTAAGAATCGATGAAAGCTCTATTTGTAGCTTGTATTGGGGTTTGTGTGAAAGGAAAGGTTGTTCACTCACCGGCATAAAAAGTACTGGCGATTTTGATATTATCAAATTAAATCACTAATGTCGTATAAAACTTGATTTTTAACATTGACTATCTACTTCGTCACACGCACATTGTCAAATCAAAAAATCGTTTTGTGTTTACAAGATATTTAATCGTGAGCTAAATTTAAGGAATAAAATTACCAGATCGCATCGCAATTTTTATTCCAATCATTATGGCAGTTTGGAGGAGACACTGATTGCACTGAAAAGAATTACAAAAAGAATCACAAAAGCAAAGAGAAAACAAGAAAATTTTTTAAAAGCAACTAAAATGATGTACTGATTGTGAGGTAGCTACAAGAAAAAAATCTCTGAGCTACAAGCGCACACATTCGTCCTTATAAATGTTATCTTTTTACACAAGGAATTTTACATTAAGTCCACCCGTAGCTGCAATTAAGTATTCCAATTTATTCTGGTATATTTAATTAAGAACTATATTGTGAGTTTGTGACGCTTTTCACGTTTTTCAAGTTTTTAGAAGAATGACCGCTTTCGGTAAAGTCGACATAAGCGGGAAGCCGTATCAAAATCTCAACTTTTCGCTACATCAAATCACTAGATATAGCTAACATTCTGTTTTACAGGAACGTGGAAAACCATTGCGTCAAATTTGTGCGTTGAGGCCAAAAGGAAAATTTGCCTCACATCGTGAAGGGAAGACTACCGCTAAGGTTTAATACCTTACATAAGATGGCTACCATTAAGGATGTCGAAACATCACTCTACACCATTAAACTAAAATACATGGAACGCTACCTGAAGCAAATTATTGAATCCAAATCTTACACCCAGGCACGCGTGTGTAGTGTTTCGAGTTGTTGAAAATTGATTGACTACACACGCCTGTCTGGGTGTAAGCTTAGGCTTCGAGAATTTATTAGACTTTTCTATTAAAGGTAGCGTTCCATGTATTTTAGTTCAATGCTCAACACTAACACACACAATCTTTATCAAGACTGTACTAACGTGGACAATCTACATCAACAAAGATTGTATGTTATTATATCTATCTCCATCTTAAGGAAAAAGTCATATATAACTGTACTGCTCACGTGGGTGTTGTCGTCATCCGAACACTCGTGATCTCTGTTTTTCGAAGACATTCGACAATCCTCTTCGTTTCCTTTCGCTATTTGTTCATCGCCTTCGGGATTTATATTTTCTTTCGAGCTGTCATGATTTTCTTGAACATTCTCGACTTTTTCAATTGATGTTGTCACCTCATTCGTCTAAAATATCACGGGAATTTATTCGCTGATAAACTGGACAAAATGGTCCAAACCTGCAGACCTGCTAACCTGCAGATCAGAAGGTCAGTTTTATTCCACTTGAAAATCTTTTATTGAAAAACAAGTCAATTAAATGGGAAAAAAGCTTAACAAATTCGAAAAAAATGCAACAAATCAGAAAAACAATTAGATCCAATTGAAAGAACAACTCAACTATTTCGATAAACAACTAAATGAAATTAAAAACTATTTAACGAATTCGTGAGAAAAATTGATTCAATCCTGGATAAAAAACAAAAAATCCTGTTGTGTGCTCGGGTTAAAACGACGGATTAATACAAGAATTAGACAGAAGTTAAAAGCTCTTGTAAAACTTCAAACTCTGAAGAAAACTTTGCCAAAAAGGGAATAATTTGAATTTAGCTGGTAATTCAAATATACGTAAATCTTCGCAGTCTCCACACATCAGCATTTTTATCATTGACGAGTACCTCATCAACACATATTGCACCTCATCAACAAATGTTGTATCTCATCAACACATGTTGTACCTTTTTACTGTCGTTACTTTTCTCTCGTTCTGTTTTCTTACGATTAGCTCGATTTCTCTGAAAACAAAATGGAGGCAAAACTAGCTATGTAACCGTGTGAAGACCAATATTGCCAAACAGGAATAGTGAAAAAATGAACTACGGATCCAGGGAAAGCGCAAAATATGTTCCGGACTTAGAGAATGTATGCCAACTAAGATGCATTGCGCGTTAATCACCACGCGACGGCCATATTTTGGGTGGCGAAAATGGCGGATTTTGTCATTGTAGTTAATGCAACTAGGACAAACGATAATAGTTATTGCGAAATTGAATTTTCAACCAATGTTTTTTTGTTAACTCTCACAAATTAGACGATGTAGTGTCGAAGTTGAATTCAGTGAGTTGCAGGCTCAAAAAGCAAAAATGTCAACATAAACAAATACGCGCAATGCATCTTGGTTAACACAAATTCTTTAAGCCAACCATTACATTCTGAATTAGTCGATACGTTTATCTATCAGTTGATATAATGATATTCCATTAAAACTCTGTATGAAATAGGATAGAGTACATTCTCCTGTATCCAACATTATCAAAAGACAATCCTTCATAATTACGTAGGAGGGCCTTCGGACGAAAAGTCCATTTAGGTTTAGCCTGCACTCGAGAAACATTTCAATTTTGTCTGATTAACATAGCTAATAACCAGAAAGACTAAATAAACTTTAAATAAAAAACAGGTGAAATGAAACCTTTCTTCTAGCTTTGCGTTTTTCCGCTTTTTTCTTCGATTTCTCCTCTTCCTGTATTAATTCTTCGGCATTTTTTCTTGCTTCCAAGATATAAACACACGATATTACAAATGCATTTCAAAAACACCAGAAATACCACGAGAAACAATCATATCGACAAAGTATACATTCAACGTCGTATATGATAGAATTGCAGCTTACTTCTTCAGATATTTCTGGACGGACCTGTTTTTTCTTTTTCAAAACTTCTTGCTTAACTGGAAATTAAAGTATAACACACCACTTACATAAAGGGAATACACACCATTTCTATTGCAAATTGTCATGTACTTTGCCATCACTTTCTCAGCATTTCTATTTGTAGTAGTTTTAAGAGGAATGAAAGCAACAGGAAAAACAGATTGATTGATTTGAGAGAGTATGAGAGAGACACAAAGGGCCGAAATGCCCACCAAATTTCACCTGTTTTCAAGGCCGCTCTATAGGAAACCAAACGTCAACCAACCTTACGTAAGTTTCAAAGCTACTCATACAAACTTACAAGAATTAGCTGTTGCTTTACTGACTTCTTGCCATCATATCAGAATACTTTGCATGATGTTGTCAACTTCGATAAATGGGAAAATCCTCGTCCGAGTCAGACATAAGAAAATCATCATCATCATCATCATAGTCGTCGTCATTGTAACCATCATATTCGTCATTGTATTCATCATCCGAATAAAAAAAATTATCTGGAGCAAAGTCTATAAAAGTAACTATTCAAAGACAAATGACTATAATGAATGAACATACAGGGACTGCGGAAATCAATAATTGGCGGGGGTCATATTCACACATGCATGTTATAATCCGTAGAAAACACGAAATTTTAAAGGAACTTAATATGGCATGTCATGGATACATAAATATTACACCTTCCCTCACCAATTATCGATTTTCCGCGGTCCCTGACTTAAGGAGGTGAAGATGTAGAAGTGTAAGTAAATGAATTTAGTGAAATTACTGCATTTTAACAAAAGACATGCAACTATAAAAGTTCACATCCAGCAAAATTGTGTAAAGTTTAAAAATAAACAAGCATGACAGTGCTAATCCTTCCAGGATTGCTAGATTATCATAAAAAACAAGATTCCTGACACATAATAACCTGATTCTAACGGATAAATGACATGTCTTTGGCACTAGTTTCAAAGTGTATATGGCCATCAAGCAGGTTGTATACAACTGTGTATAGTCTGCGTATTTATTCACTGTAAAATGTCAATACTCACATCCATTATTGCTGAAGAATATGTGAGCAAACAAATCAAACATATCTGCCTAAAATGAAGTACAATAAAATTTATCAGTGTCAGCATGCAATCAATGCTCATCAAATGTATTGTGGTTTTATATGAGAATGTACCCCTGAAAACATCTAACTGAGAAAGTTGCATACATTGCAAATTCAACTCTTCCCCATGTGAAATGTTTTGTTAACTCCACACTACCAACCATTGATATCCTGATCTTATCATCATACATTGCAAATTTAACTTCCCCCATGTAAAATGTTATGTTAAGTCCACACTAGCAACCATTGATATCCTGATCTTATCATCATACATTGCAAATTTAACTAACTCCCCCCCTCCCCATGTAAAATGTTACGTCCACACTACCAACCATTGATATCCTGATATCATCATCGTCTTCCTTACTGGTCAACCTCTTGTATGCCTCAGAAATTTCTTGAAATTTCTTAATTGGATAAATAATGAACAATAATTACAACAAGGTGTTTGTAGCTGTTGTCCCAACTAGTTAAACTGGAAGTTGGCTGAGAAAACTCAAGATATTTTATTTATATTCTGCAGTTATATGCACAGCATTTGTGCAACTGGCTTCAGAATTTCAATGCACTATGTAGTTACTTAGCCAATCAGAGCTTCATACAAGCCATCACAGTTGTAAATTAAGTTGGTTAAACAATTTGTTTTTATCTTGTTTTCCTGCACAAAAAGGGAATTTTTACATACATATATGAGACCAAACAACTAAAGAATTTCATATAATTTTTAATCATTTTATATACCTTGGTTGATTCAGCACTGTTGCTATGTTTATCCGGGTGCCATCGCAGGGCTAGCTTTTATAACTTGCAATTTCATCTTGTGTGGAGCCTATAGAACAGATGCGTCAATATCATTAATCACTAGTTGCCATTTGACATTTCTATATAATTAGTTGATAATGGATATGGTTTCTTTATAAGAAATAGCCTTATTACCACACCAGGTTATATTGTTACATTTGGCAATTGTGGGTTTTGTTAGGTAATAATTATTGATACCACACTTATATTGTGTACAATTTATTTGGTAGTGACTGTGGGTTTTGTTAGGTAATAATTATTGATACCACATTTATATTGTGTACTGTTCATTTGGTAGTGACAAAATGACAATTAATTTTGTTTTCACATTTGGATGCAGTTTTGCAAAATATTCAGCCAATAACATGTGATAACAACAGAAATGCAGTCAAGAATCATATCTTTTATTATGTAACAGAAGTTAAATTTTTATTTATCTGATACAAAACTGTCTCATATGAATGCATTTTTACTGCTTAAAAGGAAAATATGATTATGTTGACTAAGCATATTCTTAAAATTATATAATTTACTCATTGAGAGAACATGTCCTGGCCGTTTTATAAAATGTTTACTGAGCTTAGATAAATTATTTGAAGAGCGAATACTTCAAAAGCACAACTTTTGTTTTTGGAAATTTTCAGCGGAAAAATTATAAGGAAAGGAAACTATTTATGATAGTCTGAGGAAGAAAGTATTTTCCTCAAAATCAAACAAGTTTTTAAATTGTATAATTTTAGCAATATGAGAAAACTTAAAATGGAAATCATTTGAAGCAATGCATCCATTGTTTGCATCATAAATTTCAGTATATTTACAAAGTTCAGTATAGTATAGTATAGACAGCACAGCACTTAACTGCAACTAAAAAACGAATTAAAAACAAACATATTAGTTACACATAGTAAATACATTAACCAAACCTTCAGCTATTTCAAGAATTTTCAGCGCCTCCGATTTAGTCATGACCATTTTTGCGCCTATTTAGTTCACAACCATTTTTTATATACAAAATACAAAATCTCTCGTCGCCATATTGAAAATGGGGCACGTCATCCACACCCCCCGTCCCAGGATCACAGCATTCGTAACATTACCCATAGATGTTACCAAATGTTATTGATGATGCTGCGATGTTATCAACAAGGAGAAGTGGTTCCCAACGGACGAAACATAACAAACAATACACATTTTAATTCGTAATTTAAGCAGATTTTTCATTTTTGAGTGACAGCAATTTCGATGATAATTATGAAGCTACATAGTACGAAATGACTTGTATACGAAATAACTTGCCCTGGCTGTGGTAAAACCTACATCGGCATAACACAAAGATGTCTGTCTGTACGGCTCAGAGAACATGCAACCAGGCTCTCTTCTAGTGCAGTTGGCCAGCATTTCTCTGAGTTCGAAAACGCTCAATTCCTGGCTACTCTACAAAACCAGTTTTCACAACTCAATGATCTCCCTCCACCTCTCAGAACTCCCTCTCCTATAGAAAACCTTATATTCAACAACTATAAAATACTTCAATCAAACATATCTAACAACTACCACATTCTTGCTTTTCTTGAAGCACTTCTCATCAAACACAACAAACCTTTTCTAAACACTGGACTTAAGCCTAGCAAAGAACTACAACTTTTCTCTTAAATTACAATACACTCATTCCACCAGTCGGATCTTTGGTTTCAATTCATCCTTTTGAAATACTACACCCTTTCCAACTCTACTTTTATAAATATCACACTATTTAATTTCTATTGCTTACTTCCGTTACTTAATTCATGCGTTGTAAATATATATGTGTATGTATGGTCACAGAATAAGGAATGTAAAGGAAGCGCCACTCGATGTCGGAACCTATGATGTTCGTGTCCCCTGTTTTGAGTTCTACAATCCATGTATTTTAAACGGCGGCCATATTTCCAGCCGGATCATGGTTTTAAATATCATTTTGTCTGAAGATGACTTTCAAATAAAGTCGAAAATTTACAGTTCACTTCTCGTCTTGCAGAGTTGTAAGTAGAACGTTAATTGTGGGTGTATATTCATATATTCAGTTGTGCCCTACTGATTTCTTTTGAAATTCAAATCACTTTCAAAAGAAATCAGTAATTCTAGTTACGCCTCTGTTGTCTTGTTTAAGTTGTTTTAATGCATATTTTGCAATCTCAAGGTGTCTTGCTTTTTCTGAATTTGCTTTATACTATATTTCTTTAAACTGTCGGCTGGTCATGGTTTTTATGAAGCTACGTGGCCAGTATTGTGTATGGAGAAAATCATGCATTACGAAATTTTCCAACGAGTTAAAAACTTTTTAGCAATCGCAAGAAACGTCGATAGTTGCTTCATTTGAGTAAGCTTGCACCATATACGAATTTTGATGTTGGCCATATCAGCCAATTTGAGGTAAGTCATGCTCATAAACCACAAAAACATGTTAAGGAAATAGTATGTGCGTAGTTTAGTTTATCAATGTATCCTTTCCCACACGGCTAACAGCCAAGAAACAGTTATTGACGTTAGTTAAATTTCCTTATGTACCATATATAGCTTAAATAGATTAACTACTCCGACCAATAGCAATATTTGTTATTTGTAATAAAGAGTATAAATACTGCTCTGTGAAATAGTAAAAATCAGATCGATCATTCAGTTCACTCGTGGTTGTTACTGAAGGTATAGAGTATATTAAGAAAGAAATATGGCGAGTAACTCGAACTCAACACAATTCAAATTTTTACCTTCAGTCATTCACAACAAATGGTCTTTGTTTGGTAATAGAAAGCATTTTTGTCAGTCCTAACACTGTACACGTTGCAATTCCGGATCTGCTTGTCTGCACGTCTATGCGTTAAATTAGTCAAAAGTAAATGGGCAAATTTTCTCATTGATTGAACTGCTGTAAATAAAATCAAAAGTTCTAATAGTTACTTCGTAGTTATCTCATGAAATACAAAGTTTATTACAGAGACAACTGACGCATAAAAAATGTGCATCAAATCCACTTGATAGCTAAACAAATGCCAGAGATAATTTGGAATCATTTTCCTGTGTATTCTCGCTCGCTGTAGTTTACTGCTGAGGATACACTTAACGACCACAAAAGAACACTTTATTTCAACAACTCTGTTATTCTCCATGCATATATTAATAGGCTAAAGGCTATTTTTGGATTACAAACATTAACAGTTTACATATTCTCCATTGTCATGTCTGTTTTTAAATTTTTACTTCAATCAGCGTGCTGAAGGAAGATGATTAAGATGACAAAACAAAGGAAGAGAACAGATAAAGCTTAGCGACTCAGTAACATTATTCACAACTCAACATCGCCACATCAAGAACGGTCGGTTAAAAGAAACTACTTTCCAATCAAGAAAAGGTCATTAAGATGTTCTTCAAAACTCTCTTTTTCATTTGTTATCTTTTGGCCACGGTCAATGCAGGTAGGGTTTTTCGACTTTAGAAATTTTAGAATTTGTAGCTTGTATTGAGACTTTGAGCACTGTGTAGTGTAGAAGACGGCGTAAACTGAGGTGTAGAAAAAGCAGTGCTGACTGTTTTGTCAGTCTTCAATTTTGATTCATCACTAGTTTATAAGACAGATTTTACTGTGAAATTTAAATTTGGCATCTTATTTTGAGAAAAATGCTTACTGGTTTTGTTTCAAGTTATTTCTATACATTTTTTTCTTGCTACAAAATCTTTAAAACTTGGTTGTGCTGAAATACAAATCATCACATTAATCGAGCTGATGACTGTTTCTCAATTCACATCGCTTTAATCGTCCTAATCAGGTAATAGAAGAAAATCGTTGAGGTACAAATGCATACCTTCAGGTGAAGATGAACTTATGACAACCTATTTTACACAAATAAGTTTTGACCTACATCAGCCCGAAGTTGTAAGTGTTAGTGTTCCATGCAATGTAGAGAACCGCGTAGAGTGCGTAATTTGCATAATTTTACAAATATGTTTACATTGCCTTTTAAAGGAAAATGGAGAACAATTGCGTTGAACAAGTGCATTGGGGCCAAAAACAATCAATATGCTGAGTTTTCATACCCAGGCCCTTCGCGGTTTATCATTGCTCTAAAGTTACATCATACCACTGGAAAGATTGGATGTGGTTCTTCAGCCAAAACCAACTGGGGCTGCACGGGATCAAACCCAATGAACATTATCATTACAGGTAAATTAATAAAAAATGATCAGCTGGAACATTTTCAAGGATAGTTTTGTTGCAAAATAGTTAACATAAAAAATCTTAATCGCCTGTCGAAGAATCATTCAAATAACTTTTGGGTAATTCAGACTTAAAACAAATGGAAGTCGATGTTCTAACACTTTTTAATGACAGCATTTCTGCATACATTGAACAATTTAATATAAACAGACGATTAAACCTTTATAAGGCTGAGTAGTTCATATTTTGGGTAGCTAGTTGACTAAGTTTTATTGTTAACGCTCTCGCCCAGCATTTCAAGTCATATTTAGTGAGAAAACTGGGTAGAATCATTAAAAGTCATACGAGGCAGAACAAAATTACGTTTGTAGTGACTTTTAAACTATCCGCGATCGCAATGTTAAAAGTCTGAATGTAGGTAATAGTAATTGGCCAAACATTACATAAAAGCATTTAATTTATGCGATCAATATTTCTGTTATTGAATTTCAGACACAAGAAATAAACGTATATTTCCTGCACCGTCTTTGATTACACCCAGGACTAATGGCAACTGGTATAGTTTGCCGGGATACAATTCTAACTCGCCGAGTATCACCTTCGCTGTACCAGGTTTCCGATGGTTGTATCATGGTCAAACATTCAGAATCTGGTACGGAGAAGATCTGCAGATTACACGGAATACAACAATCATGGAAAACTTGTATGAATGTACTCGTTTACACTACATGAGAATGTATATTTACTCATTTTAAAATTTTGTTGTTGTAATCCGAATAAAATAGTATGTTAGTCTGTTTAGTTTAC